CAGCAATATGACACATGAGTGTTTAGGAAGTCTCTTTCAGTTCATAGCCCTGCAAAGGCCAACTGGCTCAAGTTTGAAGCACCACTTAGCCAAAGAGTTCATCTGGGACAGAACTTGGGCTGTGTCTCGGGCAATACAAACACGAGATTGTTATTCCAGGCCATAGGGAACAAAAACTTTCTGCTTAAGAAGAGAGGTGTTTTGCAATTGAATCTGAAGTGTCTGCTCATTTCTTAATTCTGTCCTGAAAACTTCCTTAAAGTGTCTGTGTGAAGCAATGATGTTGCCAGTGGGCTTTTTTTTTTTTTGAATGAGAAATAATGGCAGAGTGTTGCAGATGATTTAAACCAACCTGGAGAAGACTGTGTCCCTGTGTGAAGTCAGTGCTGGCCTGGAGGAGTTGGTACAGAAAGGCCATTACGCTTTCATTTCACATCCAGATTGATTTCACAATCACTTCCTATCACAGATAAGCCTTTAGCTCTATAAATAAGCAAGGTGACAGTGATACTGTCCATGATTTTCTTCTTACTAATCCAAAGTTGGATTCTGATCTTGTGAGGCTCTAGATTAATACTGTTCTTGGAAGGAGCAGTCCTGCCTACTGTTCCTGTTCGTTCCTCATCTTCCTCGTTGTGTTGAAACAGCTGCTAATGCAGCTCTTTGGTGAACAACTCAAAGAACTAAATCACTAAAAAATAAGTTATTTTCCTGATGGGTTATTTTTCTTCTGGATCTGTTCTTCAGCTGTTTACCATGTAGCTACACAAACTGTCACAGTAGCAGAAGGCAGCAGGGGATACTGGACGTAGAATAAAGAAGCCAGCGGTGGTTCATACTGACAGTGTCCAAGCTAAAAGCTTAAGTATAAAGGGTAAAAGAATGACTGTTGATTCTCAGAAAGTGGTGTACATGAGGCAGGTGGCTAAATCTTGGATTCAGAGAGCTGAAATAACATCTTTCAAGGAGTTGTTGCTGATTTAACTTTTGTGGATGGCTTGGCCTAATAATCGAACATCACAACAATTAACATACGCCGCTGTAAGAAAGCACGTCCCTTTTGTAGTGCTCACTCAGAGTAACTTCTTAGTAAACATTGTACCCGTAGTGCTTGTATGTGCATGTAAACATGTGTCTCCCTCTTCATTTTATGTATGCTGATGACAGCAGATTCTAGCAGAATTATGCTAATACTTGGCCATGGGTGAGTCTTGCTGAAATAAAACTGCATTTGAGGTCAAGCAGAGGTAATTTATTCATTTGGAAATGCTCCTGCATTATGGAGACTAGCTTTGAGTAAATGAACTTATTTCAGCAATTAGCCTGAGGTTACTGGTATGAAGTCTATAAAATGTATTTTTAAATGCTCTCATACCATTTAAGAAGCTTTCTCTCCTTTAACTGAAATGATTTCAGGGGGCTGTACCCAAAGGAAATGCGACTAAAGAATACATGGATAATTTGCAACTGAAACCAGGAGAAGTGATCTACAAATGTCCAAAGTGCTGTAGTATCAAACCTGAACGTGCACACCATTGCAGGTATGCCATAGTTTTCTTTAAAGCAGTTATGCATATTGAGTCTTGGAATAATGTTTCTGCTATTTATTTTTTTCCCCCACAAATTTCTTTTAGTATCTAATAAACTTTCAAATTTGTACATTGCACAGTATTTTATAAATATAATATACTGTGGCCAAAAATGAATGTGGACTAGGGGAAAGAAGCAAGAGACTCAGGAGTTTTTAAAAAATAATCATACTGTGGTGTCTTAAATACTTTCAGATCTGTGAATATTTTTTCCAGTGCATCATTCTAATTGTTGTGCAGTACTGTTGATAATGCAGGGCAAAGGGCAGAAAATCAAGGAAACTTCTGATTTAAGAAATTACTCCTGCAATCTTAAGAAAATACGGATTAGTTTCACACTAACACTTTCATTTCTGTCTTCTTGTCTCCGTAGTGCGTCATTTGAAGTTATATGTGAATTGGCAGATTATTTTCCCCAAATTTTATGCATAATTGGTTAAATGTGCCTCTGCTTATTGCAGATTCCTTTTGATAAAGACAGAAGTGCTGAGAATTTGAACTAAACATGCTATGGTAGAGATAGTAAATGTATTCATTTTTAACTACTTTTCAATCTATTGAGTTTTCAGGCACTGTGGATATGCATTTGTAACGTTTATTGTGTGAGAGTTGAAAATAGATATACCTGCATAATTAAGGCTTACATAAATATGTAAATGTTTCTGGTAAATGTTTCTCTCCAGGTGTGACGAGTGATGTGTAGTGGATCGTGTGGCATATTGAATTGGAGTCTCTTAGCTAGGACCTGTCAAAAGAACAGTGAAGTCTTGTCAGGACTCTCAAATTATTCTGTAAATTTGTGGTTTCTAAATTAAATGTCTCGGTGTGTGTCACTTATCCGTGTGAAAGTTACGACTGAGAAGCTATTTCTATTATAAATACTCTGCCTTGGCACTGAAATCTTGTTCTTCACTCAGATGTGGGTGGGTTTTTGTATCCAGAGTGTGAAGGGATAAGTTTCATGTATAAATGAAATGAGGATGATGCGAGGGCTGGAGCAGCTCTGCTGTGAGGACAGGCTGAGAGAGTTGGGGCTGTTCAGCCTGGAGAAGAGAAGGCTCCGGGGAGACCTTCTAGCGGCCTCCCAGTACCTGAAGGGGCTCCAGGAAGGCTGGGGAGGGACTTCGGCCAAGGGCAGGGAGTGACAGAACAAGAGGTGGTGGCCTGAAACTGGAAGAGAGGAGATGGAGCTGAGATGTGAGGAAGAAATTCTTTGGTGTGAGGGTGGTGAGACACTGGCCCAGGTTGGCCAGAGAAGCTGTGGCTGCTCCTCCCTGGAAGTGTTGAAGGCCAGGTTGGATGCAGCTTTGGGCAACCTGGTCTAGTGGAAGGTGTCCCTGCTGCTGGCAGGGGGGTTGGAACTGGATGATCTTTAAGGTCCCTTCCAACCCAAACCAGTCTGTGATTTCTATGATTCTATAAATAGTGAAGTATGGAATTATCTCCAGTTAGTTCATCTGTGTTGGAGGTTAGCTTTTCATGGATGCAGAGACCAGGTCTGCCTTCGTGTGCAGTGAGTTTGGTTCTGTCTGGCTTTGTTAGCTCTGGTAGAGTGTTCCATGAACACAGTTGTACCGATTGCTCGCTGGGCCTGGGGGTGGAAGCAGTGCAGCTGCTTTCTTGCAGCTAAACTGTTTGTCTCTGGGGACCCAAACCAGCTTTGTGCAGTCTGTTCAGATGTCCTGGATTGTGTTTGTGGGATGTGATAAAGGGCCACCTGAGAGCCTCTGCTCAGCGCAGGTTGGATCTTGCTCATTTTCTTGCCTCAGATGTAGGCTGGCTTGTACAGAGACTTCGCAGGTATCTTTGCGAAGTGTTTCCCACATCTTCAGTCCTGACAGGATTTACTGATTCGGAAGCAACACTAAATGAAGACATTTTTTGTTGAACTCTACATATGAGTAAAAAGCTGGAGTGTTGGAGAGGCCAGAGCTGCTGCAGCTCTGTGCCCTGCAGAGTCACTTGGGTTCATCTGGACCATCGTCCTCAGCAGGCTCTGTATTATCTTGGATGTTCCAGCAGCCTGTGATCCCAGATTGAAAAATTATTGTTTCTTTGTGAAAGGAGAATAAAAATAAGCTCAGTAGGGACTTTGAATACATTGTTTATAACAGGAATTTGGATGGCAATTATTGTTAAAGCTGAGCAAGAATGGATAGTGTCTACAGTGAAGGAAAGCTGTGATAATTTCAAAGGGTTTGTTTTCACTATCCACTGGTTCAGGGACCCAGCTTTGCATGTCTTGTGAATTGTTTTACTTTTCAATGCCTTGGTAAAACCCACTGTGAGATGTTCCACATAAGGGCAGAGGATGCATTGTAATGCTTACACAGTGCATAACTGACTTCACAGAACATCTGAAAGAGAAAGCCAGAGAATGAAAGTGGATGTGCTGTCCTTTTGTAAGCCTGCTGTCGTGTTTTCTCAGCAGTTTGATAAATGTTTTAATTGCCTTTGTTTCTGTTACTCATACATGTCACTAGTAGTTGCTATTAACTTTTCTTAAATAAAACAAAGGATTTTTCTGTAATTTTTTTGAGTGTTGAATACATATTACATAGACCAGCTATACCAGAATCTGATTCTTTGCCATAGATTTAGCACTTGCAGAAGTTTACCAAATAGAAAAAAGATTTGTTTGATTATACTGCCAACTTTTTATTGGCTTATAAACCCATTCCAGGGACATTAAAGGGATGGTCTAGTCCCAAGTAGTCAAAGTGGCAATTTGCTGATAGAAGAGACTTGAAAATGGAAATTGAAGTTGGTTCCTGTTGGGAAATACTTACACTCAAAGCCACAGTGCATGTTTGGAGTAGTAAATTATTAACAGAAGAGACTCTTATGATGTAGTTATGAAAATTGTTGTGCAACACTGCAGCAGAAGTTCTTTTAAGGAAGAAAAATAGCTTCATAATACACATTAGTGATGGGAAAAAAAGAACAATAAACTTCTATTTACAGCTAAATATCTAGCCTCAGTGAAATACATGAAACTGAGATTTTTACTAAGCAGTTAACGTTTTCAGCACAAGGAAGAGGTTTATCTTGAGTGAATGCTGTTTCATTTTCACTGGAAGAACACAGCTGTCGTTATTTCTCACCTATTCTGAGTGCTTGTGTTTGTGTGTGGGGATCTGTTATTCAGAATCAAGTCACTGAGGTGTTTGTATTAATCTTCCTGTGAATTTCTGTTATCCAGACCAATTTCTCTTAAGCCATTAGCTGTGTCCTTCTGCGTGTTATCTTTGACATTCACAACTGCAATTGCACCTGCAGTTGCCTGAGTGCATTCAGCAGCAGTACCAAGCTGGAGAAGACCTTCCTTTGTCCACAGCTGCTTGTTCTCCTTTCCATATTGCTCCCTCCTCTTGTTTAAGGCCTGAGTGTCTATGCACAGTGAAATGACCCAAGTTTCAGCTAATGGAGTGACTTCTCCAAACTCTTGTGGCATTAACATCTGTGCTTGGACGAGGGAAGGAATAGAATACAAGTGACAGAGGTAAGAACAAGGCAGGACTGCTGTTTTCAGCATTTGGCTGGAAGTGTTTGTTGAATTGTGGTGTGAGATGAGACATGAAGGCAGCATTCCAGACATCTGATGTTTTGGAGAGCTCTGCGTGGGCTTGTGAGAAATACTGAATGAGCAAAAGCGTGTCCTGCCCACCTCACAACCTCCAGGCTTTGGCTTGATTGAGTGGATATGATTTTACTCAGTACTTCACATTAATATTCTTTTTCAGCGTGCCTGTGTGTATTCTGTGTTATATTAGGAGGCTTGCATGGTTGTGGTGACTGGAGTTAACTTCCCACGGAGCTCAGGAGATAAATGAGAAGCTGAACTTACAAGCAGCAGGCTGTGGAATGAAAATCTTTTGGAGAGCCTTCTGAATACCTTCTCTTGGCTGATACTTGTTTCTTCTCCACTAGAGAATGGTTGTGGTGTTTAATTATGGTGTTGGGATTTTTATATATAACTGGCCCTATTTAAGAAGTAATTTGCGTGGGAGGATGAGTTGTCTTTAATGTCCATAAAACAAGAGGCAGTGGGAATGCAGGGACTGGGTTATGCTCAGGGCAAAGGGGTTCAGAGGAGCAGTGAGAGATTTGGGGTTCTTCCATATAACCTGCACAGGAGTATGTTCTGCCTCTTGCTGAATTACCTTATAATCATGCATATGCAGTGACTTAAAAATTACTTTGTGCCTTGGAGCATTGATTTCCCACATCACCACCACTCCTTTCTTCAGTCTAGTGACAATCATCTAGCTTTGCTTCATGGCTTGTCACTGCAGCGCTCGTAGATACCATACCTAAATAAGCATGCGTTAAAAACAAAGGGGTTTGAATAACAGTGCCTGCATTTTTTAGGCTTATTTGGTTTTGTAACTCAAGACATGAAAATGCTTAATATTTTAGATGTTCTGCAGGAAAATATAGAAGCCTTTGAGTGTGTGGCTGTCTTGAGTTCAAAGCTAGGAAAATGAAATATCAGCATTACTTAAGCTCTTGATTGACTGAAGAACTTCAACACATGTTGCAGCTCTCCTATTTCTTTTAAAAGTGTTCATGTTTGGCTGCAGATGTACTGGAATGTAAGAGAAATGAGCCCTCTGATGCTGTATGGCCCAGCAGATGTCAAATGGAGTAATTGAAGTATTTGACTTTTCTGGAAATAACCTTGACTCAGAGCTGGGCAGAAACTAAGTAGCAGAACTAGCAAAGAACAGTAGTATTTAAGTGTTCGTTAACAAGTAGGCAAAGAATGTGTGCTGTTTATAGTTTCAATATTTTTGTTTTCTGTTGAGGAAATGAGGTATGACAACAATGGTAAGATGTTCTTTAGTTGAGATTTTGATTGTGTATGTTTGGAATTGCATGGTCAGTTGAAACCTCAAGAGTGACGATTTCTCTCTTGAAGATGTGAATTTCTTTCTCTCCTCTTTCTCTCCTCTTTCTCTCCTCTTTCTCTCCTCTTTCTCTCCTCTTTCTCTCCTCTTTCTCTCCTCTTTCTCTCCTCTTTCTCTCCTCTTTCTCTCCTCTTTCTCTCCTCTTTCTCTCCTCTTTCTCTCCTCTTTCTCTCCTCTTTCTCTCCTCTTTCTCTCCTCTTTCTCTCCTCTTTCTCTCCTCTTTCTCTCCTCTTTCTCTCCTCTTTCTCTCCTCTTTCTCTCCTCTTTCTCTCCTCTTTCTCTCCTCTTTCTCTCCTCTTTCTCTCCTCTTTCTCTCCTCTTTCTCTCCTCTTTCTCTCCTCTTTCTCTCCTCTTTCTCTCCTCTTTCTCTCCTCTTTCTCTCCTCTTTCTCTCCTCTTTCTCTCCTCTTTCTCTCCTCTTTCTCTCCTCTTTCTCTCCTCTTTCTCTCCTCTTTCTCTCCTCTTTCTCTCCTCTTTCTCTCCTCTTTCTCTCCTCTTTCTCTCCTCTTTCTCTCCTCTTTCTCTCCTCTTTCTCTCCTCTTTCTCTCCTCTTTCTCTCCTCTTTCTCTCCTCTTTCTCTCCTCTTTCTCTCCTCTTTCTCTCCTCTTTCTCTCCTCTTTCTCTCCTCTTTCTCTCCTCCTGTGGCATTGCTTATTCAGTGCCACAAGTGTCAAACAAATTACTGAATTTCCTTGATTATGTGTTTGGGTGTGCAATGATTCTCATAATAATGTGAAGGTTTACACAGTCTGCTCTGTAAAAACCAGAAGCTGAGTTGTAAGCGAGCAAATACTTTCTTTAAAGAAATGCCAATAAAATTCCTGTTTGCAGTTTGTCAAGAAAGATTTCATCATGCCGTCTTATGACCACAAGATACTCTTTGATTCTACATTAAAATGCGAAGTATTGTTTCTCAACAGAAATCTTTTTACCTTTCTTTCAGTATTTGCAAACGATGTATTCGAAAGATGGATCACCACTGCCCGTGGGTGAATAACTGTGTGGGGGAGAAAAATCAGAGATTTTTTGTTCTGTTTACGGTAAGTGAAAATCAACAGCAGCTTGATCTCAGTATGAGTCTACCTTGATTATAACAATTTTGATTGTACTTAGTAATGAGTAACGGCTTAAGGGCACAGTTGTTTCCTGTTGGTTGTTTTTTTATTATTATTTCCTACTGTGCAAGATATTCTCCAAGCAGGAAGATATTTCTACTCATACTCATTTCAATCTTGTAAATTGCTGTTATTTTAAACTATCTTAATTTTGCTGTATTTTCTGTAGTAACAATTAGCAAAATGGTACCGTGGCTTAGGGAGCTAATCCTTAAACTTTCATTGTTGCCCACGTTTTTAGATTCAAACTTAATTATCATTGTATTGAATTAAAAATTGAAATAGGAAAGTGTATGCACAGTGCAGCAGTGAAGACTGGCTGAGAGGAATGTCTGGTTTAGTCCCTGGCAGCAGTCAAAAGTAAACACTCTCTTTTATTTCCAGATGTATATAGCCCTAATTTCAGCTCATGCGCTCGTACTCTGTGGGTTTCAGTTTTTCTCCTGTGTCCGAGGGCAGTGGACTGGTAAGCAAATATTTAACTTTCATTATCAGAATCTAGCAGATATTAAGGGAAAGTCATAGCATTCCACTTATTTCAGTCCCATATATGAAATATTACAGGACTTTGTCTTTTTTAAGTGAGGTCCTTAAAATATTTCATACTTGTTTTACCCATCTCTTTCTTTTTTCTGTTTTTTTTTTTTTCCCCCTCTGTTGTTTTGCCATTCATTGTAAGAGCTGTGACTGTCAAGGGCATTTGCACTCCCTTTCCACATAGTAAAAATTTACTACCTCTGTAATAGGAAGGAAACAGATAGCTGCTCCTCAGTCACCTCAGCACTGTATTACCTGAAGCTGCCAGCTGGGCTTTGTGTGTCCCACTGCAGTTCTTTGAACCACAGCTGAAACAAACACATTTCTCCCTCATTCTGTGACTGGAGCCAACTGTGGGGCTCCTGTAGAAAGTTTATTTCCTAAACTGTCCCAATTGCTTGTTTAGGCCTCTGACTCACATTTCTTAATGTTCCAGTGCTCCAGAGCTCATTCTGATCTTGTGCTTTTGATGGAAGGTGGATATTAGGAAGAAGTTCTTCACTGTGAGGGTGGTCAGACACTGGCACAGGTTGCCCAAGGAAGTTGTAGATGCCCCCTCCCTGGAAGTGTTGAAGGCCAGGCTGGATGAGGCTTTGAGCAACCTGGTCTAGTGGAAGGTGTCCCTGCTGCTGGCAGGGGGGTTGGGACTGGATGATCTTTAAGGTCCCTTCCAATCCAAACCATTCTATGATTCTATGATCATATATTCTTCCTGATCCCTGAAGCAACATGGGAATCCATGTGACTTTTGTGCTGAATATTCCCTTAAATGAATGGAACCTTGGTCCTTTTTTTACTTGAAACATTCTGCTTCCTCTAAGCTGTTCCATTTCTTCTTTGTTTAACTATAATTGAGTTAATCAGTTGATCAGAGTGACTGTAAATGTGACTGTAAATGTAAGTCAGGACCTGATTATTTTGTGTGGTGAATTAAAAAAAAATAATAATAAAGCAATTGCATCAGAATGGAGCATCTGGATTAACTACCAAGTCAGAGCTGACAGTGGTGATAGTTTTTGCAGCATTTGTCATGCATGAAACTTCAAGCTGCTCTCATCTTTATACATGTGCAGTTCTGAGCACTTAAATCATCTCATGTACAAACATTTATTTGATATCTTTGAAATATTGAGGCAGGATTGCTGAAATGCAGTATTATGTGCTTTATAGGAAGCCGAAAGTGTTACTTCCTTTAAATTCTTTATTTCCTTGGGCAACAAATAAAGCTAGTGCAGTGCTAGAATTTAGAAGTTTGTTTTAATTTTGAAATATTGTTTCAAGTGTCAGATATTTAGCTTTTATTGCTGTTTGTTGGAGAGGGAAATATCTCAGTATGAACATGCTCAATAGATTATTTTTTTTAAATAACTACATATATTGTTTTCACAGAATGCAGTGACTTTTCCCCACCTGTAACTGTGATCCTGATGATCTTCTTGTGCCTTGAGGGTTTTCTGTTTCTAACTTTCACTGCAGTCATGTTTGGCACCCAAATCCACTCAATATGCAATGATGAAACGGTAAAGAGCTCTACTTTTTTATGCTATAGCAGTTATTCTAGGAAGACGTGATCAGATGTTGTTTTATTTGCATGAGATGAAGCTCTTATTTTGGAGAAAACCCCGAATCTGAAATAGCACATCACTTATTTTTTACAGTTCTAAGCACTGAAATACTTCCTTGGGGTTTGCTTTCTAACAGAAGTTCTTGTATTATTTGCTTTTCTGACATAAATTTTATAATACAGTTTTCAATTACAAAGATTGCACAGTTTCTGACTTCAGTTGGGACTTTCACTTCTCAGCTGTCACAAACTGATATGTGTCATTAGAAATGTCTCTTTTTCTCAGGTTTAGGTTTAAACTCACCATCTTGTATCAACCCTTCACACTTCCCTCTACTTTCATACACTTCATTCGAGTTTAGACCTTTGGCTCCCTTGTCCTTATATCAGCAGTGTTAGGCCTTGAGAAGATGTTTTATGACAGATAATTGACTGGAAACATAAGGAATTTGAATCTTGTGTCTGTTTAGAATTTTTTCATGAGGCTGTTTACAAATGTACTTCTGTACTGAAGAGTAACTGAAAAACAATCTGTAAATAAAATATCCAGCCTTCATTAGTGGGAAGTACAAAAAATGATCATCAAAATAATGCATTTGGGAGAGTAAACCTTGCTTCAGTAATTGCAGTACCAGAGCCTTCTTGGAAGCCTTATTGTCTGGTTTCATTAACTGAGTAAACAGCTTCTAGCCTAGGTATATTGCCTGCAGATCCTCTACTGTAACATCAGCTTTTCAGGTCTTACTGTCTTTTACTTTGAGGAGGGAAGAAGTGGAGGTAGACCAACCTTCTCGTACACATTTTAAGTTCTAAGTCTTCTGCCCTTACCCATAGGGCTAAATCAGCCATTCTTATTTCTTCCTTACTAAATAAATAACAGTAGGAAACTAATCAGCTCACTAGCTACACATCAAAAGAATGCAAAATAGTCATTGGTTTTGATAATTGCTGTTAGACTTTACTAATCTCTGAACTTAACTGTGTCACTGCATGTCTGTTTATATACAGGAGATTGAAAGACTGAAGAGTGAAAAGCCAACGTGGGAGCGGAGACTACGTTGGGAAGGAATGAAATCTGTTTTTGGGGGTCAGCCTTCACTCCTGTGGATCAATCCTTTTGCAGGATTTCGAATCAGGCGACTTTTACTGAGAGCAAAGAAAGGAGGACCTGAGTTTTCTGTTTGAGTCTAATTATGCTGGAACTTGCAAGAATACTATATAATATTTATTTGGGGCCAGAGAAGGCTGTCTGCATATAATCTGTGACCAGGTGAAACTGATACCAGACATTTGCTTGTAGCAAGCAGAGTTTTATACGTTTATCGTCACAGACATCTCATTAACTTTCAGAGACGCGAACTGGATCTGTAATGGTCTTAACGGCAAGATAACAAAGGAAAAGCACGTGGTCGCACTAAAGAAGCCAAATGTTGTCATGCTACTGTAATTTATTTTATGAGATTAATTATCCTTTTTTGTTAAACCCTTTTTATTTGATAAAAGTTTGGGGAATTACCTGTGTGTTTTTATAAAAAGTATATACTTAGATGCAGTTGTCAATCATAAAGAGGAGCATTATGGTGAAAGTTGATCTCCAATGAAACCTAGCCTTCTAAATCCAGTTTTCAGGGAATAGTGATTTGTTCAGTTGTAATTTCTATTTCAGCTTGTCCTAATAATCAGAGCTGTACTCTTGTGTCCCACTTCAGGCACACATTCCTCATATGCAAGTGATTCAAAGGACTGGTGCACACAACAGCATAAACACATCAGAGGTACTGTTACACCCCTGCCAGATGTCTTCCCAGGCTCACAAAAGCATGTCTTGTGTTTGGCAGTATTAATCTAATATGGCATTTAGGTTCTAAATCTTCAGTAAACAACATTTCTAACCTACACTGTGGACTAAATTTTGCCCTTAGATATGTATCTTCGGTTCTTAATGCATTGATTCCAGAGGAACTCGAATGTAGGTGTTTGAAGATTGTTTCTAGTCGTCTGCAGGGATGAGTGGGACCAGTGACTGTATCCTCCTGTGTGAGATTAAAATGAATGTACTGGAGATTGGAGTTAATTGAAAACAGTTTTCTTTTGTAAGGTCTTGCTCTGCCCCTTTTTTATTGTACAGACTTTTCATAGAAGGAAAGCTTAATGATCCCCTGAACATCAGAGGAATGAGGGAGGTTGCCTTTTTCTCAAGTACAACAGATCTTAAATGTAGAAATATCTGCAGTAGAAGGAATTATTTTGAATTTAACCATTTTCCAACCAAAACTGTTTTCAAGAAATAAGAGCAATATAGATCTAGAACTGCTTTATGTGGGCCTGACAAACAACAGTAGTGCTAAGAAATGTTTATAAACTTGCAAGTAATGAAATACAAGCTGCAAGTAATGAAATTCAGCTAAAAGTGGATTCTTTAAAAATTACATTTAGACTATTTTTTGTATTATTGTTAATCTGTTCTATAAATTACTAATAATATAAAGGATAAAGCAGGAGCCTTGATGCATAGCTTGAAATCGTGCCTAGAAAGTAAAATAGCTCCCTGTTCTGGGATTTGCCTTAAAATCGTCCTGTTCTTGCTTTTGCTTCGCCAGTAGCACTGATGATCTGTCCCACCTCAAGCAGTTCGACGTGCTGAAGAATCTTGCATTATAAAGTTTACGTCCTACAGAAGCTCTACTTTCTTTTTTCAGTGACCTGCTTCTCCATTTCTTCGTAACTGTTTGTGGCATCTTGATTCCAGCTCCATCAGGTTTTATACCATTGGGGGGGTGAAGTTACTAAGGGATCCATTTATTATCTATGACCCTGTGAACAAAACTGTGCAATACTGTGTAATATGCCCACTTTGCTCGGGGGAGGTGATGTGTAACACTGAACGATTTCTAGGTGGACGCATCCAATGAAATTGCAGTAAAATGAACAAAACTTATGTCTTGTGTAACTGAGGGGAAAGTTGGAAGTTCCACAAGAATCTTTGCATATTCATTTGCACATCTTAAAAGATTGGGGGGAAAAAAAAAATGTGTCTGGCTTTGTCATGAGGCTCTTAATGTGTATATTGTTTAATAAAATATCCTGATGAAAATCGGAAAATATCACTTCAAGCGGTTGAACCCTGTGACTTAGCAAGTGTGTGCGTGTGTGAAATCAGGTTTACTTGGCTTTTCAAACCCTTGTTACGTTGTAATTTTTTTAATGTAAAAAAAAAAATAATAAAGTAATGAATTGAAGTCTTAGTTGATTAACTTCTCTGTATGTCGCCTTTTTTGCACATACACTTGCATATTTGCATCTATTTAGATTACAACTAACAGTCTTGCATCCTTTGGCTTGTAATTTATATGTACGTGTATATCAAGTAACAGATGCTCCAAATTAAAGATGCTACTCTGCTTACTAAGGGTTTTAAGCTGTGCTGACTGCTCGGCTGTTCTTAGACATTGCTTTTTCTGCATCCTCTAATGTAATTGCTCATCTTATTAGTACCTGTTTGTCTCAGGTGAGTGGGAAAACATGGTGAATACTTCCTATTTGAAAACTCTTTAACAGAGTATCTCAGGCTTTGCACTTTCAAGGTATTGGTGTAAAATACAGGTTTGGACTCCAAAGTTTCTCTGTGCAATTGTTGATTGATTTGTTTATTTATTTATGTTACCACTGGTTCTGTAGCTTCAGATACAAAGAGCAGCCAATGATGCAGCCTAGAAAGCAGCAGTTCAGGTAGAGCCGTTAACAGAACAACTGACCCAAGGAGGGTGAGGAGGAAACAAGGTTTACAAAGGTGGTAAAGGGTGGAGAGGCTGGAAGCAGTTTGTTTTCTTTTTGCAACAATTCTAAAAAATTCTTTGATACCTTTCCTGGATATAAGATCACACTTCTGTACAGTTTCTGTAGAGAAAATAGCTCTAAATCCATTCATATAAACTTTGTGCCACTTTTATTTTTAAGCAGGTTACTGATTTGCTTAGATTTGTATGCAAACAACACTCAGGCTGTGCTGTATTAACGTGTTTTAGGGAAGAGCTTGTTTACTCTCCAAATAGAACAGACATCTCTGCAGATGGACCCTGCTAATCTATCTCCTTTTCATTTTCTTATCTAATTTCTAGCAGTAATGTCAGGTTGTTTCATGAACTCTTTCTGAAGCCTTAGATGGCAGTAGTGATGTGAGAATTCATTTATGGACTTCTTTATGCCGATTTTGTGCGGAATTGATGTGTTTCTATGTTCTCACTTCTTTCAATTGGCACTGGGTTAATATCTGAATGTATTCAATGCTATTGGAGAAATTAAGTGGCATAAGAGGTCTTGAAATGCAGAAACTGGAATGTAAAATGATTCTTGAATCTGTTAATAACGCTAAAATGAAATGCACCGGCATTATAGTTCTGTATATTTTAAAGTGTTATTCCTCTGAACAGAGTAACAGTTCAATTCATCGTGTACTTTGTGATTGAATATGGATTGGTACTTCTTGACCCAGGAGATTGTTAATTTTTTTTTCTTGTGTCACTTATTCTTTTGTGTGTGTGTGTGTGTTCTGAATTTTTATATGGAGAAACACTATCATTCCTTTTTTTTTTTTTTTTTTTTCAGTATTTCCTGACTGTATTATAGTAGTTTTATGTTACATGATGCAAATTCCTCTTGTCATACCCAAATTAGAGCTCTGGAAAATAGTCAGCACGCATCAAAACAATCAGAGTCTTAGTTTCTTAATAACATAAGTAAGACTTTGCACCTCTGAGATATTTCTGCAGTTTCTATTATAATGTTTCTATAGATTTAACTTTAATAAAGCCAAATATTATAATTGTTAAGGAAATTGATAACTTAGAGAAAAAAGTAAAACTTTATTACCTGACATGCACGATTCATGTTGTTCTGACAAAACAGCTGGCATCTTGCCAGACAACTAAAAGATTTTTAAATAGTGGCTTTGAACCTTTTTTGGTAACAAAGTCACGATTCCAATAAAGCAGAAATCTAATGAAACAGTCCCATCCAAGATATGTTTGTATAAGAATATTGGTTTAATTTAGAGAAGGGTTTGACATGGAGAAGCTAGAAAAAGCTCTTTGCTTTGAATCTATTCTGGCTCTTCATACAGACCCCTTGTAAGACAATAAATTATTCTTGCTGTAAATCTTCACCAGATTAGCTGAACGGTGGAGGCCGAGTCTGATATCTACTTGTTCCTGGACAATTTTATTTCCTTCTATCACATAATATCTTAGATTGTTATTTACATCAGTCTCGGGTGAAAACTGGGCTTTCCAGCTGTAGATGATTCGGTTTTTTAATGAAAAATATATCCCTAAATTGAAACTCCCTAAAGTATTTGCATTGGAGAAATAATAGAGAAACTTGAAAACTTGGGTTTGAATTAAAGGAAAAAAAGGCAAACTGTCCATATGGAATATGAGAATATGGAATTTATTTCCCCCATAGATTTATTTTCTTACCATTAATGAGTATAAATGTACATTTAATCTCTAGAAAAGTAATCTAGATGATGGAGGAACTGGAAGCAATGTTGGGTAAGTACGGTTGCATCTGCCGTGCAGC